GGAACTGGGATGGAATGGGATGGAATGGGATGGAACTGGGATGGAATGGGATGGAACTGGGATGGAATGGGATGGAATGGGATGGAATGGACTGGGATGGAACTGGGATGGAATGGGATGGACTGGGATGGACTGGGATGGAATGGGATGGACTGGGATGGACTGGGATGGAATGGGATGGACTGGGATGGAATGGGATGGACTGGGATGGACTGGGATGGACTGGGATGGACTGGGATGGAATGGGATGGAATGGGATGGAATGGGATGGACTGGGATGGGATGGACTGGGATGGACTGGGATGGAATGGGATGGACTGGGATGGAATGGGATGGAACTGGGATGGAATGGGATGGACTGGGTTGGAATTGGGATGGACTGGGATGGGCTGGGATGGACTGGGATGGAACTGGGATGGATTGGGATGGACTGGGATGGAACTGGGATGGAATGGGATGGACTGGGATGGGCTGGGATGGACTGGGATGGAACTGGGATGGAATGGGATGGACTGGGATGGACTGGGATGGAATGGGATGGAACTGGGATGGACTGGGATGGGATTGGGATGGAATGGGATGGAACTGGGATGGACTGGGATGGATTGGGATGGATGGGATGGACTGGGATGGACTGGGATGGATTGGGATGGACTGGGATGGATTGGGATGGACTGGGATGGATGGGACGCACTGAACCCCATGATGGGATGGACTGGGATGCACTGGGATGGACTGGGATGGATGGGACGCACTGAACCCCATGATGGGATGGACTGGGATGGACTGGGATGGACTGGGATGGATGGGATGGACTGGGATGGACTGGGATGGATGGGATGGACTGGGATGGACTGGGATGGATTGGGATGGACTGGGATGGACTGGGATGGATGGGATGGACTGGGATGGACTGGGATGGATTGGGATGGAATGGGATGGAACTGGGATGGAACTGGGATGGACTGGGATGGAACTGGGATGGGATTGGGATGGAATGGGATGGAACTGGGATGGACTGGGATGGGAATGGGATGGACTGGGATGGAATGGGATGGAACTGGGATGGAACTGGGATGGACTGGGATGGACTGGGATGGGATTGGGATGGAACTGGGATGGGATTGGGATGGACTGGGATGGACTGGGATGGAATGGGATGGGACTGGGATTGAACAGGGATATAATGGGATGGAACTGGGATATAATGGGATGCATTGGGATGCATTGGGATGGACTGGGATGGGACTGGGATGGGACTGGGATGGACTGGGATGGAACTGGGATATAATGGGATGGGACTGGGATATAATGGGATGCATTGATGTTGCAGGGGGATGCACTGGGATGCACTGGGATCCATTGGGATCCATTGGGATGCACTGGGATCCATTGGGATGCACTGGGATCCATTGGGATGCATTGGGATGCACTGGGATCCATTGGGATGCACTGGGAGCCATTGGGATCCATTGGGATGCATTGGGATGCACTGGGATCCATTGGGACGCACTGGGATCCATTGGGATGCACTGGGATCCATTGGGATGCATTGGGACTCCTTGGGATCCATTGGGATGCACTGGGATCCATTGGGATGCACTGGGATCCATTGGGATCCATTGGGATGCACCGGGATGCACTGGGATCCATTGGGATCCATTGGGATGCACTGGGATCCATTGGGATGCACTGGGATGCACTGGGATCCATTGGGATCCATTGGGATGCACTGGGATCCATTGGGATGCACTGGGATCCATTGGGATCCATTGGGATGCACCGGGATGCACTGGGATCCATTTGGGATCCATTGGGATGCACTGGGATGCATTGGGTTCCATTGGGATCCATTGGGATCCATTGGGATGCACTGGGATCCATTGGGATGCACTGGGATCCATTGGGATGCACTGGGATCCATTGGGATGCACTGGGATCCATTGGGACGCACTGGGATCCATTGGGATGCACTGGGATCCACTGGGACGCACTGGGATCCATTGGGGCGCACTGGGATCCACTGGGATCCATTGGGATCCACTGGGATCCATTGGGGTCCATTGGGATCCATTGGGATCCATTGGCTATGGGGCAGGGGGGGGGTCACTCACCTGCTCCCCCCGGGCCACCCCCAGGGGCCTCGTGGCCGCCGAGCCCGGAGCCACCTTGGAACGCTGCGTGTCCGCCCCGAACTGCAACGGGAACAACGGGAATGGCGATGGGAATGGGATGGGAATAACGGGAACGATGGGAATGGGAACGATGGGAACGATGGGAATGGGAATGGGAACAATGGGAACAATGGGAACAATGGGAATGGAATGGGAACGATGGGAACAATGGGAATGATGGGAACAATGGGAACGATGGGAACAATGGGAACAATGGGAACAATGGGAACAATGGGAACGATGGGAACGATGGGAACGATGGGAATGGGAATGGGAACAATGGGAACGATGGGAACAATGGGAACAATGGGAACGATGGGAACAATGGGAATGGAATGGGAACGATGGGAACGATGGGAACGATGGGAACGATGGGAACGATGGGAACGATGGGAATGGAATGGGAACAATGGGAACGATGGGAACAATGGGAACAATGGGAATGATGGGAACAATGGGAACGATGGGAATGGAATGGGAACAATGGGAATGGGAACAATGGGAACAATGGGAACGATGGGAACAATGGGAACGATGGGAACAATGGGAACGATGGGAACAATGGGAACAATGGGAACAATGGGAACGATGGGAATGGGAACAATGGGAACGATGGTAACAATGGGAACAATGGGAACAATGGGAACAATGGGAACGATGGGAACAATGGGAACAATGGGAACGATGGGAACGATGGGAACAATGGGAATGGAATGGGAACAATGGGAACGATGGGAACGATGGGAATGGAATGGGAACGATGGGAACAATGGGAACAATGGGAACAATGGGAACGATGGGAACAATGGGAACGATGGGAATGGAATGGGAACAATGGGAACGATGGGAACGATGGGAACAATGGGAACGATGGGAACGATGGGAACGATGGGAACAATGGGAATAATGGGAACGATGGGAACAATGGGAACAATGGGAATGGAATGGGAACGATGGGAACAATGGGAACGATGGGAACGATGGGAACGATGGGAATGGAATGGGAACAATGGGAACAATGGGAACGATGGGAACAATGGGAACGATGGGAACAATGGGAACAATGGGAACGATGGGAACGATGGGAACAATGGGAACAATGGGAACGATGGGAACAATGGGAACGATGGGAACAATGGGAACGATGGGAACGATGGGAACAATGGGAACAATGGGAACGATGGGAACGATGGGAACGATGGGAACGATGGGAACAATGGGAACAATGGGAACAATGGGAATGATGGGAACAATGGGAACAATGGGAACAATGGGAATGATGGGAACGATGGGAACAATGGGAACGATGGGAACGATGGGAACGATGGGAACGATGGGAACGATGGGAACAATGGGAACAATGGGAACGATGGGAACAATGGGAACAATGGGAACGATGGGAACAATGGGAACGATGGGAACGATGGGAACGATGGGAACAATGGGAATGGGAACAATGGGAACGATGGGAACGATGGGAACGATGGGAACGATGGGAACGATGGGAACGATGGGAACAATGGGAACAATGGGAACGATGGGAACAATGGGAACGATGGGATGGGAACGATGGGAACGATGGGAACAATGGGGACGATGGGAACGATGGGAACAATGGGAACGATGGGAACGATGGGAACGATGGGAACGATGGGAATGATGGGAATGGAATGGGAACGATGGGAACGATGGGAACAATGGGAACAATGGGAACGATGGGAACGATGGGAACGATGGGAACGATGGGAACGATGGGAACAATGGGAACAATGGGAACGATGGGAATGATGGGAACAATGGGAACAATGGGAACGATGGGAACAATGGGAACAATGGGAACAATGGGAACAATGGGAATGGGAACGATGGGAACGATGGGAACAATGGGAACGATGGGAACGATGGGAACAATGGGAACAATGGGAACAATGGGAACAATGGGAACGGGAATGGGAACGGGAACAACGGGAACAATGGGTACAGGAACAATGGGAACGATGGGAATGATGGGAACAATGGGAATGGAATGGGAATGGAATGGGAACGATGGGAACGATGGGAACAATGGGAACAATGGGAACAATGGGAACGATGGGAACGATGGGAACGATGGGAACGATGGGAACGATGGGAACGATGGGGACGATGGGAACGATGGGAACGATGGGAACGATGGGAACAATGGGAACGATGGGAACGATGGGAACAATGGGAACGATGGGAACAATGGGAACGATGGGAACGATGGGAACAATGGGAACAATGGGAACAATGGGAACGATGGGAACAATGGGAACAATGGGAACAATGGGAACAATGGGAATGGAATGGGAACGATGGGAACGATGGGAACAATGGGAACAATGGGAACAATGGGAATGGAATGGGAACAATGGGAACAGGAATGGGAATGGGAACAACGGGAACAATGGGTACGGGAACAATGGGAACAATGGGAACAACGGGAATGGAACGGGAACAACAGGAACGGGAACAACAGGAATGGGAACAGCGGGAATGGAATGGGAACAACGGGAACAGAACGGGAACAACGGGAATGGGAACAACGGGAACAACGGGAACAATGGGAACGGAACGGGAACAACGGGAACGGGAACAACGGGAACGGAACGGGAACAACGGGAATGGGAACAACGGGAATGGGAACAACGGGAACAACGGGAACAATGGGAACGGAACGGGAACAACGGGAACGGGAACAACGGGAACGGAACGGGAACAACGGGAATGGGAACAACGGGAATGGGAACAACGGGAACAACGGGAACAATGGGTACGGGAACAATGGGAACAATGGGTACGGGAACAATGGGAACAACGGGAACAATGGGAACGGAACGGGAACAACGGGAATGGGAACAACGGGAACAACGGGAACAATGGGAACGGAACGGGAACAACGGGAACGGGAACAACGGGAACGGAACGGGAACAACGGGAATGGGAACAACGGGAATGGGAACAACGGGAATGGGAACAACGGGAACAACGGGAACAATGGGAACGGAACGGGAACAACGGGAACGGGAACAACGGGAACGGGAACAACGGGAACGGAACAGGAACAACGGGAATGGGAACAACGGGAATGGGAACAACGGGAACGGGAATGGGAGGGGAACGGGAACGGGAACGCGGATGGGAACGGGAATGGGGATGGGATGGGGATGGGATTGGGAGGCACGGGGTGCACTGGGAATGTACTGGGGGATGCTGGGAAAGGACTGGGATATACTGGGACGTACTGGGATGCACTGGGGGGTAATTGGGATGCACTGGGATGAACTGGGGGGTAATTGGGGTGCATTGGGGTGCATTGGGATGCATTGGGGTGCACTGGGATGCACTGGGGGGTAATTGGGATGCATTGGGGTGCACTGGGATTGCATTGGGATGCATTGGGATGCACTGGGATGCACTGGGGGGTAATTGGGGTGCACTGGGGGGTAATTGGGATGCATTAGGATGTAATTGGGATGCACTGGGATGCATTGGGATGCACTGGGATGCACTGGGGTGTAATTGGGGTGCACTGGGATGCACTGGGGGGTAATAGGGGTGCATTGGGATGCATTGGGATGCATTGGGGTGCATTGGGGTGCACTGGGATGCACTGGGGGGTAATTGGGATGCATTGGGGTGCACTGGGGGGTAATTGGGGTGCATTGGGATGCACTGGGGGGTAATTGGGATGCATTGGGATGAACTGGGGGGTAATTGGGGTGCATTAGGGTGCACTGGGATGCACTGGGGGGTAATTGGTTTGCACTGGGATGCACTGGGATGCACTGGGGGGTAATTGGGGTGCATTGGGATGTAATTGGGATGCACTGGGATGCACTGGGGGGTAATTGGGATGCACTGGGATGCACTGGGGGGCAATTGGGATGCACTGGGGGGTAATTGGGGTGCATTGGGGTGCATTGGGATGCATTGGGGTGCACTGGGATGCACTGGGGGGTAATTGGGATGCATTGGGATGCACTGGGATTGCATTGGGATGCATTGGGATGCACTGGGATGCACTGGGGGGTAATTGGGGTGCACTGGGGGGTAATTGGGATGCATTAGGATGTAATTGGGATGCATTGGGGTGCACTGGAGCCCCCCCCACGCCCTCACCAGCCCAATGGAGCCCAGGTCCAGGAGGCTGAAGGGGGGGGGGCTCACGGGGGGGCTCTGGGTGAGGCTGCGCAGCACCTCTGGGGCCGTGCTCTGGATGTACCCATAGTCCTTTGGGGCGGGGGGGGGGGGGGTCACCCCAAAGAGGGGCCCCCAGCACCCCCCATAGGGGAACATGGAGCCAAACCCCCTTTAAACCCCCCCAAACCCCGTTTAAACGCCCCCAAACCCCTTTAAACGCCCCCAAACCCCCTTTAAACCCCCCCAAACCCCTTTAAACGCCCCCAAACCCCCTTTAAACCCCCCCAAACCCCCTTTAAACGCCCCCAAACCCCCTTTAAACCCCCCCAAACCCCCTTTAAACGCCCCCAAACCCCGTTTAAACGCCCCCAAACCCCCTTTAAACCCCCCCAAACCCCCTTTAAACCCCCCCAAACCCCTTTTAAACGCCCCCAAACCCCTTTAAACCCCCCCAAACCCCCTTTAAACGCCCCCAAACCCCCCCCCCCAAACCCCCCCCCAAACCCCTCTTAACCCCCCCAAACCCCTTTTAACCCCCTTTAAACGCCCCCAAACCCCTTTAAACCCCCCCAAACCCCTTTAAACCCCCCCAAACCCCCTTTAAACCCCCCCAAACCCCTTTAAACCCCCCCCAAACCCCCTTTAAACGCCCCCAAACCCCTTTAAACGCCCCCAAACCCCTTTAAACGCCCCCAAACCCCCAAACCCCTTTAAACGCCCCCAAACCCCGTTTAAACGCCCCCAAACCCCTTTAAACGCCCCCAAACCCCTTTAAACGCCCCCAAACCCCGTTTAAACCCCCCCAAACCCCTTTAAACCCCCCCAAACCCCTTTAAACCCCCCAAACCCCTTTAAACGCCCCCAAACCCCTTTAAACCCCCCAAACCCCCTTTAAACCCCCCCAAACCCCTTTAAACGCCCCCAAACCCCTTTAAACCCCCCCAAACCCCGTTTAAACCCCCCCAAACCCCTTTAAACCCCCCCAAACCCCTTTAAACGCCCCCAAACCCCCTTTAAACCCCCCCAAACCCCGTTTAAACGCCCCCAAACCCCGTTTAAACGCCCCCAAACCCCTTTAAACCCCCCCAAACCCCATTTAAACGCCCCCAAACCCCTTTAAACGCCCCAAACCCCGTTTAAACGCCCCCAACCCCCTTTAAACGCCCCCAAACCCCGTTTAAACCCCCCCAAACCCCCTTTAAACGCCCCCAAACCCCTTTAAACGCCCCCAAACCCCGTTTAAACGCCCCCAAACCCCTTTAAACGCCCCCAAACCCCTTTAAACGCCCCCAAACCCCCTTTAAACGCCCCAAAACCCCTTTAAACGCCCCCAAACCCCCTTTAAACGCCCCCAAACCCCTTTAACCGCCCCCAGCCCCCGTTTAAACCCCCCCAAACCCCTTTAAACGCCCCCAAACCCCCTTTAAACGCCCCCAAACCCCCTTTAAACGCCCCAGACCCCGTTTAAACGCCCCAGACCCCCTTTAAACCCCCCCAAACCCCGTTTAAACCCCCCCAAACCCCTTTAAACCCCCCCAAACCCCTTTAAACCCCCCCAAACCCCTTTAAACCCCCCCAAACCCCGTTTAAACGCCCCCAAACCCCTTTAAACCCCCTTTAAACGCCCCCAAACCCCCTTTAAACGCCCCCAAACCCCTTTAAACCCCCCAAACCCCCTTTAAACGCCCCCAAACCCCGTTTAAACCCCCCAAACCCCGTTTAAACGCCCCCAAACCCCTTTAAACCCCCCCAAACCCCTTTAAACGCCCCCAAACCCCCTTTAAACGCCCCCAAACCCCCCCAAACCCCTTTAAACCCCCCAAACCCCTTTAAACCCCCCCAAACCCCTTTTAAACGCCCCCACACCCCTTTTAAACCCCCCCAAACCCCTTTAAACGCCCCCAAACCCCTTTAAACCCCCCCAAACCCCTTTAAACGCCCCCAAACCGTTTTAAACCCCCTTTAAACGCCCCAGACCCCGTTTAAACGCCCCCAAACCCCTTTAAACGCCCCCAAACCCCCTTTAAACCCCCCCAAACCCCGTTTAAACGCCCCCAAACCCCGTTTAAACGCCCCCAAACCCCTTTAAACGCCCCCAAACCCCCTTTAAACGCCCCCAAACCCCTTTAAACCCCCCCCAAACCACTTTAAACGCCCCCCAAACCCCTTTAAACCCCCCAAACCCCGTTTAAACCCCCCCAAACCCCCTTTAAACCCCCCCAAAAACCCCCCAAAACCCCTTTAAACGCCCCCAAACCCCCTTTAAACGCCCCCAAACCCCTTTAAACGCCCCCAAACCCCGTTTAAACCCCCTTTAAACCCCCCAAACCCCCTTTAAACCCCCCCAAACCCCGTTTAAACGCCCCACACCCCGTTTAAACGCCCCAAACCCCGTTTAAACGCCCCAAACCCCGTTTAAACGCCCCCAAACCCCGTTTAAACGCCCCCAAACCCCGTTTAAACGCCCCCAAACCCCGTTTAAACGCCCCAAACCCCCTTTAAACGCCCCCAAACCCCGTTTAAACGCCCCCAAACCCCGTTTAAACGCCCCCAAACCCCTTTAAACCCCCCCAAACCCCCTTTAAACGCCCCCAAACCCCCTTGAAACCCCCCCAGACCCCTTTAAACCCCCCCAAACCCCCTTTAAACCCCCCAAACCCCTTTAAACCCCCTTTTAACCCCCCCAAGCCCCCTTTAACCCCCCCAAACCCCCTTTAAACGCCCCCAAACCCCCTTTAAACGCCCCCAAACCCCCCAAACCCCTTTAAACGCCCCCAAACCCCCTTTAAACCCCCCCAAACCCCCTTTAAACCCCCCCAACCCCTTTAAACGCCCCCAAACCCCCTTTAAACCCCCCCAACCCCCGTTTAAACGCCCCCAAACCCCGTTTAAACGCCCCCAAACCCCGTTTAAACGCCCCCAGACCCCGTTTAAACGCCCCCACCCGTTTAAACGCCCCCAAACCCCTTTAAACGCCCCCAAACCCCTTTAAACGCCCCCAAACCCCCTTAAACGCCCCCAAACCCCTTTAAACGCCCCCAAACCCCCTTTAAACGCCCCCAAACCCCTTTAAACGCCCCCAAACCCCCTTTAAACGCCCCCAAACCCCTTTAAACCCCCCCAAACCCCCTTTAAACGCCCCCAAACCCCTTTAAACCCCCCCAAACCCCCTTTAAACGCCCCCAAACCCCTTTAAACCCCCCCAAACCCCTTTAAACCGCCCCAAACCCCCTTTAAACCCCCCCAGACCCCGTTTAAACCCCCCAAACCCCGTTTAAACCCCCCCAAACCCCGTTTAAACGCCCCCAGACCCCGTTTAAACGCCCCCACCCGTTTAAACGCCCCCACCAGCATCTCCTCCAGCAGCTCGGACGCCAACGCGAGGTTTCCCCCCACGTTTTGCTCGCTCAGGGGCCCGCAGAAGTCCCTCAGCAGCGCCACCAACCTGCGGGGGGGGAAAGGGGCCCAAAAGGACCCAAAAATGGGCTCAAAATGGGGCAAAAATGAGCCAAAATGGGGCAAAATGGGTCAAAAATGACCCAAAATGGGACAAAATGGGCCAAAATGGGCTCAAAATGGGGCAAAATGGGTCAAAAATGACCAAAATCACCCAAAATGGGCTCAAAATGACTCAAAATGACGGAAAACGGGTCCAAAATGGGCTCAAAATGACCCAATATGGGCCAAAATGGGCTCAAAATGACGCAAAATGGGGCAAAATGGGTCAAAAATGACCCAATATGGGCTCAAAATGACACAAAATGGGGCAAAATGGGTCAAAAATGACCCAAAATGGGACAAAATGGGTCAAAAATGACCCAAAATGGGTCAAAATGGGTCAAAAATGACCCAATATGGGCTCAAAATGACACAAAATGGGCCAAAATGGTTCAAAAATGACCCAAAATGGGCTCAAAATGACACAAAATGACCCAAAATGGCTCGAAAATGACCCAAAATGGGCACAAAATGACCCAAAATGGGTCAAAAATGACCCAAAATGGGCTCAAAATGACCCAAAATGGGCACAAAATGACCCAAAATGGCTCGAAAATGACCCAAAATGGGTCAAAAATGACCCAAAATGGGCTCAAAATGACCCAAAATGGGCAAAATGGGCTCAAAATGACCCAAAATGGGCTCAAAATGATCCAAAATGGGCCAAAAATAACCCAAAATGACCCAAAATGCACTCAATGGGCTAAAAATGAACAAAAATGGGCCAAAATGGGTCAAAAATGACCAAAGTGACCCAAATTGGGCCCAAATGGGTCAGAAATGACCCAAAAATGGGCACAAAATCACCAAAAATGACCCAAAATGGGACAAAAATGAACCAAAATGAGCCCAAAATGACCCAAAATGAGCCAAAATGGGCCCAAAATGGCCCGAAATGGCTCGAAAATGACCGAAAATGTCCCCAAAAGGGCTCAAAATGACCCAAAATGGGCTCAAAATGGGGCAAAATGGGTCAAAAATGACCCAAAATGGGCCAAAATGAGTCAAAAATGGGTCAAAAATGACCCAAAATCACCCAAAATGGGCTCAAAATGCGTCAAAAATGACCCAAAAGGGGCCCAAAAGGACCCAAAATGACAAAAATGGGCCAAAATGGGTCAAAAATGACGAAAAATTGGGCACAAAATCACCAAAAATGACCCAACATGGGCCAAAATGGGCTCAAAATGACCCAAAATGACCCAAAAGGGGCCCAAAATGGGCCAAAATGGGTCAAAAATGACCCAAAATGACCCAAAAGTGGACCAAAATGGGCTCCAAATGACCATAAATGGGCCAAAATGGGTCAAAAATGACCCAAAATGGGCTCAAAATGACCCCAGACGGGCCAAAATGGGGCAAAAATGACCCAAAATGGGACAAAATGGGTCAAAAATGACCCAAAATGGGCCAAAATGGGCTCAAAATGACCCAAAATGGGTCAAAATGGGTCAAAAATGACCCAACATGGGCTCAAAATGGGCCAAAATGGGCCAAAATGGGTCAAAAATGACCCACAATGACCCAAAATGGGCCAAAATGTGCTCAAAATGGGTCAAAAATGACCCAAAAATGGGCACAAAATGACCCAAAATGGGCCAAAATGGGTCAAAAATGACCCACAATGACGCAAAATGGGCCAAAATGGGCTCAAAATGAGCCAAAAATGACCCAAAAATGGACACAAAAATGACCCAAAATGGGCCAAAATGGGTCAAAAATGACACAAAATGGGCCAAAATGGGTCAAAAATGACCCAAAAATGGTCACAAAATCACCAAAAATGGGCCAAAATGGGTCAAAAATGGAGCCAAATGACCCAAAATGGGCCAAAATGACACAAAATGACCCAAAATGACCCAAAATGGGCTCCAAATGACTCAAAATGCACCGAAAATGACCCCAAATGACTCGAAATGGGCCGTAATGACCCAAAATGGGCCAAAATGGGTCAAAATGGGTCAAAAATGACACAAAATGACCCCAAATGGGCAAAAAATGACCCAAAATGGCCCAAAATGACCCAAAATGGCCCAAAATGACGCAAAATGGGAACAAAATGACCCCAAATGCTCCCAGAATGACCCCAAATTAATCCAAAAGGCCCAAAATGACCCAAAATGGGTCCAGAACGACCCAAAATGGGCTAAAAATGACCCGAAGTACCCAAAACCTGCTCTAAAAATCCAAAATGACCCAAATGGGGCCCAAATGGGTTAAAAATGACCCAAAATGAACCAAAACGCCCCCAAACCACCCCAAACCACCCTAAAACACCCCAAAATGTCCCAAAACGCTCAAACCAACCCAAAACGCCCCAAACCACCCCAAAATGTCCCAAAACGCCCCCAAGGACCCAGGCCAGCCTAACCCACCCGAACCACCCCAAAACTCCCCAAAACTCCCCAAAATGTCCCAAACCACCCCAAAATGTCCCAAAACGCTCAAACCACCCCAAAACGCCCCCAAACCACCCCAAAACCACCCAAAAAAGGCCCCCCAAAACCCCCAAACGCCCTCCCTAAAACGTCCCCTAAAACCGCCCCCAAAACCACCCCAAAAACACCCCCAAAACGCCCCAAAACGCCCCCCAAAAAAACAAAGGGCTCCAAAAAATACCCTCAAACGTCTCAAAACTCCCCAAAACGCCCAAACCACCCCAAAAACACCCCCAAAACGCCCTAAAACACGCTAAAAGCACCCCCAAAATGTTCCTAAACACCCCAAAACGCCCCCAAAACGCCCCTTAAAACGCCCCTAAAATGCCCCACAAACACCCCAAAACGCCCCCAAACCACCCCAAAACCGCCCTCCAAACGTCCCAAAACGCCCCCAAAAAAACTAAACCCCCCAAACGCCCCCAACCCCCCCAAAATCGCCCCTTAAAACGCCCCTAAAATGCCCCAAAACACCCAAAAGCCCCCAAAACCCCCTAAAAACGCGCCAAAATTGTCCCAAAACGCCCCCAAAATCGCCCCCAAATCGCCCCCAAAATCGCCCCATAAAACACCCTAAAAACGCCCCCAAACCACCCCAAAAACGCCCCTAAAACGCCTCAAAACGCCCCCAAAAAACCCAACCCCCCCCAAACGCCACCAAAGTGCCCCAAAAAACCCCAAAATCGACCCTTAAAACACCCCTAAAATGCCCCAAAACACCCCCAAAACGCCCCGAAAACGCCCCCAAAACGCCCCCCAAAAAACCAAACCCCCCCAAACGCCCCCAAAGTGCCCCCAAACCCCCCCCAACCCCCCCAAAATCGCCCCCTTGGCACCTATTGAGGAACTCAACAAGGGTGAACGGCGACGCCTCCGCCGCCGCGGTGGCCACGAAGTAGAGCCCCGAGTGGCGCACGTGGACAAAGTGGAGCCCCCCAAGGGCCTGGGGGGGCAATGGGGGTCAATGGGGGGCAATGGGGATCAATGGGGCTCAATGGGGGGCAATGGGGGGCAATGGGAGTCAATGGGGCTCAATGGGGCTCAATGGGGGGCAATGGGGGGCAATGGGAGTCAACGGCGGTCAATGGGAGTCAATGGGAGGCAATGGGGGGCAATGGGGGGCAACGGCGGTCAATGGGGGTCAATGGGAGGCAATGGGGGTCAATAGGGATCAATGGGGGTCAATGGGAGTCAATGGGGGCTCAATGGGGATCAATGGGGGTCAACGGGGGGCAATGGGGATAAATGGGAATCAATGGGGGGCAATGGGGGGCAATGGGAGTCAACGGCAGTCAATGGGAGTCAATGGGGGGCAATGGGGATAAATGGGAATCAATGGGTGGCAATGGGGGTCAATTCGAGTCAACGGCGGTCAACGGCGGTCAATGGGGGTCAATGGGGGTCAATGGGGGTCAATGGGAGTCAATGGGGGGCAATGGAGGGCAATGGGGGCAATGGGAGTCAATGGGACTCAATGGGGATCAATGGGGCTCAATGGGAGTCAATGGGACTCAATGGGGCTCAATGGGGATCAATGGGGCTCAATGGGAGTCAATGGGGCTCAATGGGGATCAATGGGGCTCAATGGGAGTCAATGGGGCTCAATGGGGCTCAATGGGGATCAATGGGGATCAATGGGAGTCAATGGGGCTCAATGGGGCTCAATGGGAGTCAATGGGGCTCAATGGAAGTCAATGGGGGGCAATGGGCACCCTGGGCCCATTGAAATCAATGGGACCCCCATTGCCCCCCATTGCCCCATAGCGCCCCATAGCGCCCCATAGGCCCCCATTGCCCCCCATTGACTCCCATTGACCCCCATTGCCCCCCATTGCCCCATAGCACCCCATAGCGCCCCATAGCGCCCCATAGCGCCCCATAGCGCCCCCCAGGTACCATGAAGACCGGGGCTTGGTCCCCCGGCAACGCGGTGACGCCGCGGTAGAAGAGCTCGACCACATCGATGCCGGGCTCCGAGGGCTCCCCACGGACTATGGGGTGCAGGGGGGGGGAGTTGGGGGTCAAGGAGAAATAGGGGGGGTGGGGGGCACAAGGGGGCACCCCATAAGTGGGGGGGGCGGGGTTATAATGGGGGGGGGAAGAGGATATATGGGGCACAATGGGGGGAGCATCCCTATATGGGGCACATGGGGGGACCCCATAATGGGGGGGGGGGGGGAAGAGGATATATGGGGCACAATGGGGTGGGCATCCCTATATGGGGCACATGGGGGGGGACCCCATAATGGGGGGGGAAGAGGATCTATGGGGCACAATGGGGGCGGAAGAGGATATATGGGGCACAAGGGGGGACCCCATAATGGGGGGGGGGGGGAGAGGATCTATGGGGCACAATGGGGGGGGCATCCCTATGTGGGGCACATGGGGGGGGACCCCATAAATGGGGTGGGGGGGGGTTATAATGGGGGGGGAAGAGGATCTATGGGGCACAATGGGGGTGGGCACCCCTATATGGG